GCATGAGCGTGTGAGTGCGTGCTAGGAGAATGCCGTCGAGCGGTGAATTTCGCCGCCAGATGATACTAATACGCGCGATGCAGAAATCAGGCGATCGTGGACTTGAGGCAACGCGCCTCGAGAGGGCATACTATCCAAGCGGTCAAGCAAGCGCATCAAGTATTAGAGCTGGCCCTGGGCCCTTCCGTCGCCTGATAAAAGTTGCAAGGTTGCAAGAAAGATAAGTCGCGTTGATAGTGGAACTTCGGGCGCAGAATTTTACCATCACGCTGCAGATACTGCATGGAGCTAGACACGGCGCTTGCCGTATCAACTCAGAATATCGCCCGAGCTCGTGCACGACCATGCTGGTTGAAGCTGGTTGAAGCTGGCTGAGCCCCTCTCGCCGTCGTTCGTAGAATCATATCGGTAGTTCTGTTGACCTCGCAAGACACGATGCCTGATTCCAAAGTTTGACACCAGTCCGAGACTGTCCGCATCTACTGATATAAGGAGTGCACCAGGGTTGCGCTTGGAAAAGCTCTCCGGGATGGTCGTCGTTAAGTCGCAGCCCGTTCAAGCTCTTGAATATTTCTGGCTGCCTGTGAGCGCTACCATGGCCATAAGCTCGTGTTTATCGGCATTTGATAGACTTTTATTGATCAAACAGGAGCATCGGACCAGAGCATGAGATTAGTACAGTGCTGCCCACTCCACCACCTCAAAAAGCGTCCGCAGCAGCGTCGTCGTCGCCACCTCCAGGCGACACCTTCACTTGAACATACGCACGCAGCCCCTCTATGTCTTTGGGGCGGGCAGAGCTGGGGATCGTAATCTTCCGCAAGTTCACCCGCCCGAGTTCCGGATTCGTCCGCGATTTTACGACGGCAAGGACCCTCTTCCAGGACACAAAGTGGACGGAGTCGTAGAGGTGCAATTTGGCAAGCTGGGGGCAGATGTAAGACGATGGGGTAGCGATGAGAGCATCCAGAAGTAAGTAGCATGGGTGGTGTACCCTGAAGGCGAGTTTTTTCAGGTTGGGTAGGCTGGAAAGCAGGGATATGTGGTAGTTGACACTGTCAGTAGCATCGAAAGTAGCCCTCATGTGAAAATCCTTGTCCAGCATCGGGAAACAAATCTCGAGCATTTCGAGCTGGAGCGAAAAGCGCTGAGCGGCAGGCTGCAAAAACATTTGATATTCCGTCTGGAGGTGTTCTCGCTTGAAAGACAGTAGCAGTGGCCCTTGTTTCTTGGCGTGCGCGCGAAGTTCGAGGGCGCCATAAGATACGTCCACGTTCAACACGCGAATCTCCCCAATATTCTTGAGATTATGTTGTGCATGAGAGGCAATGAAATCGAGATCGACTGAAGTATCATAATAATTTTGTGCCAAGTAGAGAGATGCAGTGGAAGGGATGACGATAGAAGCGAGGATGGTTGGCGCGCAGGGAAAGAGGAGATCATCCAAATCCCGAGACATACTGATGAACGTAAGCATTGGCAAAGCAATTGGCTTCGCCAAAAAGCACGAGATTTGCTTGGAGTCGTCCTCGTCAAGAAAGTCGAGGTCTCGAAGGGCGAGTCGTTCCAGCGTTGGGCATGCTTCAAGCACCCAAAGCAAGTCGCTGATCGGTGACTCGAAGCGGATGCGGTCTAGAGCAAGGTTCACAAGATCGGCGTATATGGGAGACGTCAAGGGCACGTAAACCCCGAGAAAGTCGATATCTTCAAGGCGCGGGGTGCATTCCGCAAATATCGACTTGTCCCAAACAGGATCGTCGAACGCGATGCAGCGGAGTTGCTTCAGTAGCGGAGCCGGCGAATGGAAGAGTATCGCAAAACGGGCCGGGCTCAATTTGAGCGATTGGATGCGGCTGGTGTGGGGCAGAATAGCATGAAGCATATAATCCATCAGATGGTCGCCCATGCCATATGAAGCAACATGCAAAGGGGCCATTCCGGAGCGAACGAGGGAGAGGTCGATGTGAGCTGGTGATTTAAGTTTGCGATCAAGCAGGGTCCAGAGCGCTGGCGCGCTTAGCGCAGTCTCTCGCCACCGTCTCGAAACGCTTGCGATCGTGAAAGGTGGGGGCGTGTGCGGATGGTTGTAGATGTTCATGACTGCGTCCTCAAATATGAGGCATAGTATCTCGGCTGGAAGACGATATACCGGGGTCATTTCGTTGTGGTGGCTTTCGGTACTCGGCGGTTCTTCCTTTGTGCTGACGTCGCCAGGAGTCGGGGCCCGGATGATGCCGCGCTCCGGGGGAGACCCGCAAGCCTCAGGCCGATTGTGACTGAATTCGGGGAGAGGGTACCGGCGTCCATCAAGACCAAGGCATCAAGCACGCATTTATTTTAGAACTCTTACCCGTTATTTGTCTGTGCTGCATCTGCACGGTGGCCTTCGAGTTCTCCGCCGCCGGCGTGCACTGCGAGCGATTTCAGCATGGTCTCCGATGTAGCCTCCGAGAATCTCGGCTTGCTTGAGCGAGATGGTTCGAATATCAAGTAATAGCGTACTCGCTCGGGATGGCAGATTTCGTGTGCGACGACACTCTCCTCCACTCAAAGCTGTGACTAACGCTGAACCCGTCATGTTTCCAGTCAGCAACGGTGTTTTTTGACGCATACATAGCACCCACCGTGCGTTTGTCCGATCACTATTCACTGGCAGTGATGGACGTGGTGCGCGTCGTGTGCGCGTACGGCTGGAACTCTTGAAATCTGTTCGCAATTCAAATATCGACCGCGACCTTGGTCCAAGTGACACAACGGCGGCAGAGGCGAGCCCTTTCAAACAGCACGCGAGTGTGGCGAGAGCAGTCTGCGAAGCGCAGACGTGCGGGCCGTTAACGCGTTAACGCGCGCCGAGTGGTGATCGGTGACGACGAACAGCTGGGCGTGCACTGCACGGGCGTTCGGTGCGTGCGACAGGTATGGCGATGGCCGACGACGTGGACAACGGGCGAGTCGCGAAACGGCGGCGAGCGCGATAGTCGACAGTCTGCGAGGAACAAATTCGGTTTGGAAAGTCTAGTATCTATAGGGTCGTTGGCATTATGTAATACATATATTGGGATCCTTGCTCCGACTATAATCGATACAGCACTTTTGGTTGACTGGATTTCATTTTACGCCACGAAAAAGTTGGGCAAACTAACAACTTTTGTATCAAAGCGCGTTTTTTCATTTACATATTACACCATTCATGTGAATTTTGATCATTGCTGGGTGAGTCCAACTGGGCCAGCCAGCGCAGGCTCGCCAAGAGGGGTAACGTAGCACGCCGAAAGCCCGCCGTCTACCTTGAAATCAGTGCCCTTTGCGGCATAAATATGCAGCATGTGAGTAATCCAGAAGCATTAGAAAAGAGGCGGTAGGACACACGGTAACGTATGAGCTGTCATCGCTCGCAACTGGAGAAACATAAACATAGATGAGTTGAGTTGCCGGGCGCTTGGAAGAGAGCTACGTACGGAAGAGTGCGCCCTTGGCTTGCTCAATGGCCTCACCGAACCGACCCATGGGGAGATGTACCATGCGCCTTTCCCTCTTCTCTTCTGTGTTGAGGAAATCCATCAAAAGTGCTGTAAACGAGGATAATAATTAATCAGTGCATTGACGACTGAGTGAAAGAAGGTAACTTACGGGTTTTCAGGGGGCCACTACGGATGATAGTCAGATGCCGTGCCTAGGGAGGAGACAAGAAAATGTGGACATACGGGCACAACGAGTTGATTCGGATACCTTCCCTGGCGTGAACCATAGCGAGCTCGCGAGTCATGGCAAGCACGGCACCCTATGACGTTCGTCTCAATGAAAAGCCCGCCAAGCAGCTTCCACAAGCGAGCGTTGACTAACCTTCGAGGCCGTATCTAAATATTCGCGGAAGATGGTTAGAGGATAGTCATTGTGCAGTTCGGGACAGAGACTTACATGCCAGCTGGGGGGTCGCGGCGCCCACAAGAGCGACGAAGCTTGCGGTGTTGATGATGCTTCCTCCGACGTGGAGGTTCTTCGCCGCGTCTTCGGGGTTTTTCCGCATAGCAAGGATGGCGTACTTGCAGCCGAACCACACGCCCTTCAAGTTGATGTTCATGGTGAGATCCCTTGACGCAGACGCATACCGTGAGCGACTCAAATGCGTATAGATGATGGGGGTATCGACGACGGACGTACCAGATCCTCTCCTCGGTGTTGAGAGCGTTGTCATCCGCGGGATGCATAATGCCTTTCTCGCATGCATGTTTCGTGATTCAGGCATTACAAATGGTGGGTGTAGCAAGCGATTCGACTTACCGGCGTTATTGAACTGCAATAGGCGATCGAGTGATATGAAGTAGATCAACACATCGCGAAGCTGGTGGTGCCGCATACCATCACGTCAAGTCTTCCAAACTCTTTAACGGCCCTCTCCACGAGCTCCTTCACCTCGCTCTCCTTGCTCACGTCGCATCTGACTGCGATGGCGCCCTGGCGATACTTCTCGGTGATTTGCTTGGCAACACCCTCCGCCGCGGAGAGATTGATGTCGGCGAGGACGACATTAGCGCCCTCCGATGCGAAAAGGAGGGATGATTCGAGGCCAATCCCGCTGTAGATAAGAGGAATCAGAGGGACAAGATCGTGCCAAAGAGGGGAGATGACTTGCGAGGCGGCGCCAGTGACGATCGCGACCTGGATTCCGATGGGCGGTTAGATCGAGGAGGTGTCACAGCATCGACAAAAAGTGATCACCTTGTGCTGGAGTCTTCCTGGCATGGCGATTGATATCGTCAGTCAACGAGTTGGTGGTGGTGATGGTGAGTCGTATCTACACCGTACTTATCTTTCAAGAATCAAAATCGGGAACGGGATCTCGCGTTGTGATTGCTTGTTTATACCAGACGTCGGCGCGTCGACTCACCGCCAGCTCAAGACTCACCATGACCATCGGCTTACAGCTTGAGCTGCGTCAAGAAATTGAAACGAAAGAAACCAGGGGGGCTGACCACGCTCCTCGCGAGGCCAAAAAGAAAGGCCCATGCCCGGAATTGAACCGGGGACCACTCCCAATCATGCCCGTGAAGGCGGTGTTAACCCGAAGGGAGTATCATACGACTAGACCACATAGGCTTATGTGACGACTCCCTGAGTGGATCTTTAAGTGGCCCTCGAAGAAACGTGATCATAGGCACAACACAGGCATTATCCAAAGTGGAACTAAACTCCGGACAAGTATTCTAGATGAACCAGAGTTTGAGTGTAGATGCAGTAGAAAGAGGAAAGAGACAGCACCGGCCAGTATGGTCATTCCCTGCAATATACACGCGCTTTATGAAGCATGGCCCTGCCCCTGCAGGTCTGTTGCATGAAGCCCCTTCAGGGCGCCCATCATCTTAAGAAAGCTCGAGGGAGATGACCCTGCGCCTTTCCCTTTGGCACCAACAAATCCGTCGATCCGGCCGTTGAGCTTGAGGCCTGCAGCATAATGTTCTGCGTACGCCTCCACCGTTGCCTCGCGTATCCCGGTTATCTCACTAACGCGGCGCTTCACCGACTGCGTGTGCTCGTTCGCGTCGAGCAAGGCGGTTTCGTGCACCCCGAGAAAAGTGTGACCTCGCCCGTTGGCGGTGAGCAGATGGGGATGAATGAAATAACGATGTGGTTTAGGGAGGTAGATTACTCGAGGATTCGTCGCTGAAGCTGTCGCGCTCGGGTGGGAAAGATCGAGGCCGATTCGGGGAGAGCAATATATCGGCGGAGGAGGGGCTGGGAATTTAGCTTGGGCATAAGGGGCTAGTCGTAGTGTTGGGTAGGCTGGTGTGTCGGAGGTGGGTGCGGGAAAAAAGGCGCTGGTATATCCCGACCATTTGATGTCGACTAATTGAGAGATATTGTTTGCCCCACTGCGTTTGAGAATTTCATCCACGAGCAAGGATGGACCCGATATTACAGATTTATCCGATGCGCGCCTTATTGAGCGAAGCAATATTCCTCCGCGAGTTGGACTAGCGGCTGGGCTCCGGGCTGCAGGCGTCGGATTAGGCCCTGGGGAGTTAACGGCATTGCCAAAGGTAAGATCGAGGCCTTTGCGCGTCCCTCCCCTATATCCGCCTGCTGCCGTAGGTTTAGGGAGAGAGGATTTCGGTTTTGCCGGGACTGCAGTTGAACGTCGAGGTGCACGATGGAAATACCTACATGTATTGTTATCAGATTAAAAAGACCTCGAATTAGTAGGCGGCAGTAGTACTCACCAATTTCCGGCGACTGTTTGCTCATTGGTACCGTGGCAGAATGGGTCCTCGTGGACGCCTTCAATCTGCAGATAGAACTCTAGTTCGAGTATCTCATACTCTTCCTTCGAGCTGGCCGTGGTCAAATGGAGACGGTACTTGTGAAAGAGAGCGCTTGCAATCTTTTCGAAGCGCTCTGATATTTCATGGTGTGAAGAAATGCCCCGAAAGTCGAGAAGCTGGAGAAGGTCGGACGGCTCTGAGCTCGCGGCGAGAGGAGTGAGTGCGCGTTTATGCTTGCGTTTAGGAAGCTTGGCTCGTGGTTCTGCCGTGCTCTGGTCGTCGTTGTCGTCTTCTCTCCGCTTTCGTTTGGTGCCTCCTCCTGCCGTTTTTCGGAAGAAACGCGACTTCATCGATGTTCGGCGTTCGCAAAGGGGAGGTCGACGTTTGCGGTCAGGTGGCACGGACGAATCGGACGCGAAAGCGGAGGGTGCACATACACAAGCGCAAACAGTTAGATCGACGATCTAACTCCGAGCTCAGCGCTCCGAGTCCGACTAGTACTCTTGACTCTCACCATCGATCTTCTCACCATCTTCGACAACACCAATGTCGACGGCGCCTGTGTTCCAGATCATCGCCGGCACCCAGAGCTATGACTGGGGGAAACTGGGGCTCGCGTCCAAAGTAGCGCAGTTTGCAAGGCTCTCGATCCCAGATTTCAAGCTCGAGCAGGACAAGCCTTATGCAGAGGTATGTGTTTCTCTGCCGCTGCCTTCTTAGTCCTCACATATATGAATTTTTAAAGCTTTGGATGGGCACTCACCCATCGCTTCCCTCAAAACTCACAACGGGCGAGCTGCTTTCAGCCCATCTCAAAGCTCACCCCGGGCTGCTAGGGGAACGGGTAGTGAAGCATTTCGGGGCAGATTTGCCATTCTTATTCAAAGTCCTAGCGATTGGAAAGGCGCTAAGCATCCAAGCTCACCCTGATAAAGAGCTTGCGAAGAAGCTGCACGAAGAAAGACCCGACATCTACAAGGGTTAGTTCGGTCCATACAGACCCCATCGCAATCTGGTACAGAGGTGCTTACGTAGGGTTTCCGCTCAGATGCGAATCACAAGGTATGTGATCATTACCTGAGTGCATTTTCACCGGCGCTACTGATAAAGCATCTCAGCCTGAGATGGCCCTTGCAATAACCCTATTTCGCGGATTCTGCGGGTTCCTCCCACTTCCCGTGATATCATTCTACCTTTCAAGGGTCCCGGAATTCTCAGCTCTCGTCTCGCACGAAACCATCGCCAACTTCCACACAGTCGTCTCCGACAGCCTTTCCGTTTCCTCCGAGCTCAAATCCGCTCTGGAGGACGTATTCGCAGCGGTCATGACGGCTTCCGAGGACTTGGTGCGCGAGAAGATTTCTGCGCTCGTAAAGAGATATGAGTCAGGAGAGGGGCTCGATGAAGAAGAGGAAAAACTGAAGGAGCTTGTATTGGAGCTGAATCGACAGTTCCCTGGCGACATCGGGATATTTTGCGTATTTTTACTGAACGTGGTGGATCTAGAGCCTGGCCAGGCGATTTTCCTCAAGGCTGACGAGCCGCACGCCTACATATCTGGAGGTAACCACCCCGGCTGCTGTTGTGACTATAATCGGAGCTAAATTTTGTGCTGCAGATATCATGGAGTGTATGGCCACATCTGGTGCGCTATTGGCCGGTTCTCAATCCTATCTCGTCTAGTCGATTTAATGGCCCCGCGCTATAGACAACGTCGTCCGCGCAGGGCTCACTCCCAAACTAAGGGATGTGCCCACCCTCGTATCCATGCTCACATACAATCACGGCCCTGCTGACTCTCAAATCATGCCCCCCGCGCCATTCCGCTCGACAAAACACACAACGCTATATGACCCGCCCATCGAGGAGTTTTCCGTCCTACTCACGACGCTCGCAAATGGGGAGGACGAGGTACACGAAGCCATCAATGGACCGAGCATATTCTTGGTCACGCAGGGTAAGGGCAAGATTACCTGGAGCGGACAGGAGGAAGTACTCAGTGAGGGCTTGGTGTTTTTCGTGGGCGCCGGGACGGAGGTAAAGTTCAAATCTGGGGATGATGCCGGACTGGTTCTTTATCGGGCATTCGTCGAGGCGCCTTGAACCATTGAAATACCCAAAGAACGATTTGTAAACTTATGTAAAACAAGGAAAAGATACAAGCGACCCCAGTGGTGGGTATGATATAGAATGTACTCGTACAGCCGCCCTCGTGTGTGTCCGCGCAGTCTTTGAGGGCGCCTACCACTCCTCAACGTCCTCGCTCCCACCTTCCTCTTCCTCCAATGGCGGCCAGAAATCCAGCGGCTCGTCTTCCTCGTTTGCCAACTCCGTGCCAGCCCCTTCTGGCCGCATGATGTTCCGGAATACTCGCTCTGCTTCTGTCGCCGCCCAATCCGAGGTCTCGGTGAGAGGCGAGGTAAATGAGGGGTCTGGCGAAATGACGTGGATGCTGGGATGCGGATTTGAAGACTCTGTAGGCGTAAGGGTAGTTGCGGCGGGCTCGTCGAGGCGCTGCAAGTAAAACATCTGAAAGAGGGGCGGCGAAGGCGCCGAGCTCGAACTCGAGTCGGGACGCGGGAGCGCAACGAGGGTATCGAGGTACGGTTTGAGAAGCGACTCCGGATTTAGAGTAGGAAGTGTCTCCTCCGAGGCCGAAGGAATCGTAGCACACAGGTATACAACGTCTGGGACATCGATGTGAGCCGTGTGAGAGGCGCTTGATCCGAATAAGACGTACATTGGCCACGTGGACATGAGAAAGCACCTTCGCCCGTAATGAGCGCGGTGACAGAACTCTCAAAAAGAGGTCTTGTATCGCCTAAGCAGCCTGGTGGAAACACAACCAATGTTGTGTCCAATGGCTGGGGGGTTTTAGTTGACTCCTCCGAGCTCGGGCTGCTCTGGTCTGCGTCCGGAGTCGGAGGGATGACAGCGGCATATTGGATAGGGTGGTCGATGACTGCGATGCCCCTCGCAAGTAATTTCTTCCCTGCGGCTGGACTCCTATTAGAGGGTGAGTTGTCATCAGCACCATCAAGCATATCCGGCGGCAGATAGTCTCGGGTTGTTATGAGAACATCAGCGTGCAATGTATCGGGGATATCCTCTAGCTCAATCGAGAACGCTCCGTGTGCAGGGGCGCCTTCCGAGGTCGTATTCCTTTTTAGGGATCGGAATCTTCGACCCAGGATGTACGTGCCTCCTCTCACAGCGGTAACTCTAGGCATGGTCATGTCAGCTCAGCTGCTGGGACTGGAATGGCCTTGAACGACACGAGCCTACAAAAACCTTGTGCGATCTCGCCAGGGCCGCCGTAATGGCCAATCAAAAAGGGAGAATTGCCATATCGCCCTGAAGAACGCAGGTAGTGGCGCATCCGCTGGAGAGCCGGGAGTGTTGCGTCTGTAGTGTTCGCATGCATTTGTGAGCTTCCGCCAGTGATAGCGGCAGCGATCGAGAGATTACCTTGCGGTGAGGTGCAATGGGCGATAGCGAACGCAATCGCAAAGGAAACATCGGAAGAAAGAGAGAATGTGTTTTGTAGAAACGATAGCAGCGGCGTATCTTCGTTGCCTGCTTAGCGTATGAGGACATCTAGCGCCGTGCGGGAATCGGTCGAGTGGAAAATGCCGTCACCTTGGACCTCTGGCTTGCTTTCAAAGTCTCCAGTGGCGAACATGAGAAATTTCATGAGCTTTCGCTTGTCCAAAAGGCTCATCTCCTTATCCTTGAAGACATCTTCTTTGCTTGAGGGTACCCGCTTGATAACGCCATCTCCCGTATACACGCTCACACCCTCCAGTAGTCGAAACCCACCGTACCGTGATACTCCAG